TCACTTACCTTGTATGCAATGAGTTTGGCAGCGATCAGTGAAGTTCGCTTCACTGTATTAGGCTGTACAGCGATGATGATGAACATCCAATCTGCAGTCCTTAGCCCACCGTCGGGCAGTTGTTTCACTGTCCCTGCTCAACCGTTATTACTTTGGTTTTTGTTGTTCGAAGATTGCCTCTTCCTGCAACTTTTAACCGCCCATCTTGTCCTTTTGTCATCCTTATCAGATTTCAGTTTCCAGATGCCGTGCTTCTCTGCTCCAATCTTCTCTTTTCCCCGAACTGCCAAGCTGCGGNTCCCCCCCCCCAACTTACAATCTTACACTCATTAAATGCAGAATCAATAAACTGGATCTTACGCGAATATTCCCCTACTCTCCCTTTCACAGTATGCTATTTGTCTATGGGAAAATCTGCTTTCACTGCAATTCATAGTGTAATAAAAAAAAGTTGGCAAACACCACTCGAGTCATCTGTATGCGAGCTGACATTTAGTCGCAGTGTACAAAGCAGTGTTTGAATACCTTCAGTCTGCATTCATTTTTCTCCTATACACGCCAAGTTTCTAAACCATATAGCAGCATTGATCGAACTATTGCAGCATGAAATCGACGCTTCACAGACAACGGGACCTCGAGTTAAAGATATCTCAATTTGGCAAGCGCTAGCCGATCATTTTGTATGCGTGAGGAATGTTTGGCCATGATGAGTCTGTCAAGTGAGATTTGGCTGCCCAAGTAGTGAAGTTCGTCTACCTCTATAGCTTCCCCAAACAGCAACAGATCAGGAACTGGGCCAATCTTATCCTACGACATTTTACACTTTAGAAATGCAACATTCTTGCCCAAAAAGGCTTCAATAACACTCAAACCTTCCTGAAACTCACTTCGATTTTCATTCAGTAGTACAACGGATTTTGTGTACTCTAAAACAGATAAATTGCCTAGTGAAAGCTCATCGATGTAGCTATCATTGCACAAGGACATGATTATTTCCAGAATCATATCCAATACAAAGTTAAATAGAAAAGACAACCCTGACGAACTCCACTTTCTGTGATGAACTCGGACGAAAAAGAACCATAGACCCGAGCTCGGCTTCGGCTATCCGTAGATGGCGATCATAGAAGAGAACTAAATTTCTCTAGTACTCCCTTAAATGAAACGCAGCGTCAGAGAACAGTGCAGTTGATTGAGTCAAATGCGGCTTTGAGGTTGAGGAAAATGCAAGTCGTGGGACTACGGAAGGACTGGCTGTGTATTCCAAAGTCTGAAGAATGAAAATCAGTTCGGTTTAGTTTTTATAATCGGCAATAACGACTTTCATGCGCAGGTTTTGGCTGCTGTCTCATAACTGTCTATTTGGATGAGGGAGTAAAGGGCAGATTGGAATGTTCAAATCAGTGTGAGCTGAAATACACCAAAGGACTGAAGAGTGAAAATACGGTCCATGCAAATTCGATCAAGTCTTAACCAAGCCTGAGTCTTACGCGAGTGCCGTTCACGTGCAGCAGACACAGAACGAAGTATAAAACCATAGAAAAGCTTCGAGAATTTGATTAAAATAAATTCTCTGTATTCTTTCACGAGGGAATCTGTATAGCCCCTATTTCTTAGTGCAATCCGTGCGAACCCTCACACCCCGGAGTCTGTCTGTTGTGGTCTTGTGTGCTTCCCATTCATCGGGAGTTCTTTGGTTCCTCACCAACAAACAGTTCAGTTCAGTTCGTACAACCATTAGTCATGCACTATGGTGCGTCGATTTTGGTTGCTATCTTTCGGCTGCCCATTTGGATCAACATTAGGAGAAAGACACGGAAGGTTGAAAGTACGAACGAAGGGAAATTGAAAAGTTCAGTGGACTAAGGATAGAGAGAAATTGAGATGCACGAACGCCATTGTTTACGGCACCCAGTCATATATATATGTATATATATATAAACATATATATATACATATACATACATATATATATATATATGTATATATACCATCGGCTTGAAGACAAGCATGGTGCTAACGCAACAACATTATTAACAATAACAATAAAACGGGATAGTCATATCACTCAGTGTCTCTAACCAGCGGGTACGATCATCTCGAGGTCCTCAGCCAGGGAACCTAACGGGATCTATGGGAACCCGACTCCTGGTTTGGGGTTTCATACGCTCATGCCAGATCTTAGCTTGACCACCCTGGGCTTTTTTCCACCCACTACCTGCATTCGGCAAACATCGCGCGCCGTGGTAATCTAACTGGTGACATGCGTAACACATGTCCCAACCAACGTAATCTATGGAAGTCGATCACTTGTTCCAGTGGGCGACCGCGATTCCCTAAAACTTTTCGCCTGACCTCAGCATTCCTCGTCCGGCTGCCCCACCAGATTCGTGCAATGCTGCGTAGACAGCGGTGTTCGAACACCGACAGTCTATCTTTGTCCTGTTCCCGTAATGGCCAAGTTTCTGCTCCATATAGCAGAACTGGCCGAACTACCGCAGCATACACTCGACAATTCACAGACACCCGGATGTCGCGACGGCCCCACAGATGTCTCAAGTTGGCAAATGCCAATCGAGCCTTCTGTATGCGAACTGACACTTTATCCGTGATGCGTCCAGCAGGTGAGATGTAACTGCCCAAATAACGAAACTCATCCACCTGCTCTATTACTTCCCCAGTTAGAGTGAGGCTGGGTGCCGGACCAACCCAGTCTTGTAGTAGCATTTTACACTTTGAAGGTGAAAAACGTATATCGAATATGGCTACACTGGCATTCAAGTAATCCAGAAATGCTTGCAAATTACCTGGATCTTCACTTAACAGCACAATATCGTCTGCATATTCTAGATCAGAGTCTGTCTCCTGGGAGTAAATCGATGCCACTTTCCTCGCACGAGGATAGGGCTGTTTCCATAATCAAATCTGTAACAACGTTGAACAGAAAAGGAGAGAGAAGGCAACCCTGTCGAACACTACTTTTCGTGGTGAAATCGGGTGAAAACAACAACAAACAGCACTGGGCGTATTATGTTTCTAATCAGATAGCCCTTTGATTGACTGTTTCATCCTTGAAAGTTGTTCTATTGTGCATTTGATATAAAGAAATGAAAAATGAAAAGAAAGCTGCGAAACTCCCACTTGAAATTGGAGACTTAAATTTGAGCGCATCCAAAAAGAACCGACCGTTTTGTTTGTCATTCGGTAAGATAACTATGACCACATCGAGCTCAGGGGCTGTATCAACTTCGGATCTGAATCTCTATCCGTAAACGTCGGGGGGGAAACCCATCTCTGCGACATGCGTTATCTTTTGAGACGGCATCCATTGAATCACTTCCATTGCAGAAGGTTGATGGTGGTGGTGTTGTTAACTAGTCAGTTTTAAGCTTGGGATGAGTTGGCAAATCGATGAAGGTTATCAGAATCGTGCTTTAAACTGTTCTGTCTATCATTCCAGACGGCTTGCAGGGGAATCAGTGCACCGATGGACTTTTTAATTACCTCCATTGCGCCCAATTTCTGTGAACCCGTGGCATTCACACGCTATTTTTTCTTCAAATTCATGAATGTATAGTGACAATATGGAAATATTGATAAAGCAGTTACTGAGGGTTGTAGTGCAGTGGTACAAACGCTGTCACCGGTGTGTTACAGACCCTATGGCCCGAGGTTCGAGCTCCACAACGGCCATCCAACTTCGGTGGTTGGCAGCTCAACTCTCGTCCGGTCCAATAACACGCCTAACCTAGCGAGGTCTTATGTAGTCCGTCATTACAAGTCCCTGAATTTAGGTTGCCGGTTTCCATCACAAAACAGTAGGTCTTCCTGACCATGGGGTTTACCTCGTTTGCTGTTCATCAGCAAGATGTATGCACTTAAAAAGTTTTTTAAAATGAACTAGAGGTAAGACAAATTGATTAACCTAAAGTATCCAAAAAAAACCAACCTGGAACGTTTGTTTTCCGCTGTCTTCTCGGTAGAGCAATAAATTAATTTCTGAGTCTTTCAGCAACCAATAAATTCGTCCCCATACATCGTAACCCAAAGGTCGGAAGCGCAAATCCATCGCCGAGCGAAGATTTACTTTCTCCTTGAAGCCCTGGTTTCTATCAAACTGCGACTCCAACAGGGCCAGTAGCAGTCGAGTACGCACCTCCGCACCTAAGCCATAATACACGGGGGAGTATGGTCTATTGATGTGTACCGGGGTTGTCGATGACGTATTAGTGGACGATTTTGCACATATTCCCGAGACAAGGCACTCGGCAGCTTCGGAAAGACCATCAATATCCGCCGCGTGGTTGAAGAGGAATCGACCCAAAACAGGTTCCCATCGTTCCGGCCTGGCACGGTACTTGAGCTTGTTCAAAAGCTTGATATGCAATGTTTCCCAATTTTTCCAATTGGCTACGGTACAAGAGAGAATACGGAAGCAGAAAATAAAAATCATTAAAGAAAACGTGTTTTAACACGAAATTTCCCAACCCCAATGAGCTGTCCATTTCACCAGGAACCAACAAATAGAGTATACCTGAATAGATTATTACCACCGGTCTGTCTTCTTACCCTGTACAACAGAAACAAGTCACAAATGATGTGAAATATGCGTTTTGAAATCGGAAATGCGGCCGGACATGGATGCTACCCAAAACTGTTCAAGTGAACTCCTGGAAGCTGCCGATGATTTCATATATGGGGCTTTAAGATAGCTGCTCGATACAAGACGTGTCCTTCGGTCGAAGATGAGGGACTGAAGAGAAAGGAACAATTTGGCTACCTGTCGGGGGAAAACTAAGCATACCCTGAGAATTTCCGCGGATTGCATTTGAAATGGACTGGGATCAGCCGCCACCGTGAGAACGTGTCGGCCTCTGCTTGAGGGTCCTGGATACGTAGTCGTGCGTTCTCTCCATTGGTGCCTTCGTAACCCCGATTTCAGACAAATAGCTGGATTGTGATCCAACCTCTAATAACGCACGTTTCTCCTCTTCTCAGTCCACGTTTGGTTGGCACTAGCAATAAAGATTTGCACTGTTTGCAACTGTCTGCTAACTGGGACCGTTGGAATAGACATCGTGAGCCCAGGTTCGGTGATAGTCTTGGCGAGACATAACAATACCAATAAACTACAGTACACTCCAGCTGGTCAGCAATCACAAATAAGGGGATTGTACCTAGAGGATGGTGGATTTTCACCCACCTCTCAACAATACTCATATGAGCCTAACAACAGTGCCGTGACAACGGCTGACGTGATAAACCTCTCGGAACCGAATTCAGAGGTATGATAATGATCCACCGATATACTTGTGCTCATAGGATGCACAATCTGGTTTCCAGCATCACAGAGATTAGGCCTTAACTTGCTATGGAGGAGAACTACATGCAATCCTGTGTACGAGTTGCAGAAAGAAGTGCTACGAATATGGTTGGTCGTAAAATAGACGAGTGTTGAACACCGAAGAAACCGGGGTTTTGGGCAAGTAAACGATTGCCCCACACCAGAGGTTTGTATCTGTTTGTAGACAGTAACCTGATGGATGCGAATCAAACGTATAAAAAACTGGTATCCTTCTGCTGTTAGCGTTTGGTTGTGTCGGCGCTGACAATATTGTGTATTACACCACACCCAACCTGAGGCTTTATATGGTTTACCACTCCAAGTCTCAAGGTTGGGTTGAGGGTCTTCTCTCACACACACATGAACAACATAATTTACATGAATCACCAAATGCGCACGCAATCTAATGGCACAAACCACTCTCACAATGCCCTCACCAGCATTCATGGTTTGAATCGCAATGTTAATTCTATACACTACTCTCTCCAATCTCCCTCTTAGCTTTATTTTTTTACCGAGAAACAAATCTCCAACTTGTCAGACACTACTCACCTTCAGTTATCTGATTACTTTATCCGTTCTTTTCTTTTTTAAACTGGTGTCTGCGCCTATATCCATTCTGTCGCTTCTTCCCGAATTTCGCAACTCGACTTCTCCAACCGCGAATTTCAGCTTTTGTGGTCGAAACTCCGGTTCTCTTCTTTCAACCACTATTTTTGTACCGTTTACCGATCCCGAACAGCGATAATTCTTCCATTTTCGATACTCTATCTTCAAACATTGAGACATGGTGGCAGATCCTAACAGACAAATCACCATTATCGGAGACTTCACTGTTCACAACAAGGAATGGCTGAAGTACCCCTCAGACACTTCGTTATTGGGACGCGAAGCCGAGGCTTTTGCTGGAATCAACAACTTGAGTCAACTAGTTCACCTCCCCACACGCATCCCTGATCTCTTTGGTGACCGCGCCCACACCCTTGATTCTCACACATCCTCACGGCCATTCCCTCTTCTTTCTCCAACATCACATCCCTCTCTCCTAGGCTCATCGAACTATTGCCTTATTTCATTTCTCACTCATTGCTCNCCCCCCCCCCCCCCCCGTTTCACCACCCAATTTCAGAAGCACCTTATGGTGTCAAGATATAGTCAACAGGGACGGTTTTCGTGACTTTCTGGCTTATCCCCGGAATGATTGTTGTTTTAGGTCTGATGCTTTTATTTTTGTTTCCAGCTTTAAAGGGACTGTTTTTCAAAGCATGTATCTTTACATTCCCCCACTTCTCCAGATCCGGAAAATCACGGTCCCCTAAGTGGTTTATGCATGCAACCGTGCTGTACTTTTATAAAACCCAGCATTTAGTCGTTAGCGCCCAAAATCCAACCCATCCTGA